ATCTATTACTATATGTTATAATATTCTCTTGCAATTGATATCAGCATCATTTATGATCTAGAATTAATGTAGATTATTACTATGTGTTATATTCTCTTGCAATTGATATGAATAGTATCATGTATGATATTCAGTTAATGTAGCTTATCTATTACTATGTATTCTAATCTCTTATGGCCGGGCGCGGTGGCTCACGCCTATAATCCCAGCACTTTGGGATTATAGGCCGACGCAGGAGGATCACCTGAGGTCAGGAGTTCGACACCAGTCTGGCCAACATGGTGAAATCCCATCTCTACTGAAAATACAAAAATTATCTGGGCGTGGTGGTGCACGCCTGTAATCCCAGCTACTCAGCAGGCTGAGGCAGGAGAATTGCATGAACCCGGGAGATGGAAGTTGCAGTGAGCCGAGATCATGCCACTGCACTCCCGCCTGGGCGATAGAGCAAGACTCCGTGTCCAAAAAATAAAAAATAATTTATCTTGCAATTAATATAATGGTATCATTTATGATATACAATTAATGTAGTTTATTACTATGTGTTATAATATTATCTTGCAATTAATATAATAGTATCATTTATGGTATACAATTAATGTCCAGTATTACTATGTGTTGTAATATTCTACAATTAATATAATAGTATTATATATTATAATAGTATGATATAGAATTATGTAGCTTATTACCGTGCCACTATGTAATATTGGATTGCAAGTAATGTAACATCATTTCTAATATAGAATTATGTAGTTTATGTGTTCCTATATGCTACAATGCAATATACAATTATAATTAATATACTACTATCATTTAAGATTGGATTGCAAGTAATGTAACATCATTTCTAATATAGAATTATGTAGTTTATCTGTTCCTATATGCTACAATGCAATATACAATTATAATTAATATACTACTATCATTTAAGATTTAAGATTCATGTAGCTTATCTGTTACTATGTTATGAATGTAATATTGCAATTAATATAGTAATATCAGTTACAATATAGAATTAACATCTATTACTATGTGTTGCGATACACAGAATTAGTATGTGTTACTGTGTGAGACTATGTAATATACTATGACAATATAATTGCATCATCATGTAGAATTACGTCACTTATCTGTTACTATATGCTACTATGTAATACACTATTATTTTAGTAGAGATGGAGCTTCACCATATTGGCCAGGCTGGTCTCCAACTCCTGACCTCAGGTGACC